CCTAAAGTCACAAAACTAGGTACCAGAACAAAGTTGAGAGTTGTCCCCAGATTGCCCAACTGTGTGCCAGAAAATATTCCCTGTAACATGTAAAGCTTAGGTCTTTTTCCTTTTTGTTAGAATTTGCCTGATATATATTTCACCATCTTTTGACTTTAAGCATTCCTGTATTTTTACGTTTTAGAAATAACACTTACAAATAACATTTGGTTGGATTTTGTGTGGTTTGTGGTTGTTGTTTTTTATTCAGGATGGTAGTCTTTGTCTTTTAACTGGGCATTTAGTCCATTTACATTTATTATACTACATGGTATGTTTAGATTTATGTCTCCCATTTTATTTTATTCTTTCTATTTGTCCCATCTGTTCTGCTTCTATTTCTCTCATTCCTTGCTTTCTTTTGAATTAACTGGGTATTTTTTTCTCATTCTGTTTTTTCCTCATTACTATTTGGGAGGTTAAAAAACAAATCTACTTTTTTTGTTTTTGGCATGTTCTCTAATAATTACAAAATGCTTGCTTGGTTTATCTAGGTCTACCTTTCATATCTTTGTTTCTTGTATAACACAAAGACTTTAGAATATTTTAGTTCCATTCAGTTCCTCAATTTATCTGTTAGCATAACATTTTGGTTTTGATTATGTTTATCTGTAAACTCTGTAAGTTATTGTTTTATTTTCCTTGTTTTATTCTGTGCTCTCCATAGACCTTCCATCTGAGATCACTTTCTTTCTGCCTGAACTATTTCTTTTATAACTTCCATAATTAAGAGTCTACTGGTGGCTAACGCCGTGTTTGCTTGTTTAAGAATGTTGGTTTTTTTTTTTTTTTTTGGAGACAGAGTCTTGCTCTGTTGCCTAGGCCAGAGTGCACTGGCACAATCTCAGCTCACTGCAACCTCCACCGCCCAGGTTGAAGCGATTCTCCTGCCTCAGCCTCCCAAGTAGCTAGAATTACGATGCCTACCACCACGCCTGGCTAATTTTTATATTTTTAGTAGAGACGGGGTTTTGCCATGTTGGCCAAGCTGGTCTTGAACTCCTGACCTCAGGTGATCCACCCACCTTGGCCTCCCAAAGTGCTGAAATTACAGGCATGAGCCACCACGCCCGGACGAGAATGTCATTATTTCAACCTCACTCATAGAAGGTATCTTCTCTGGGTTTAGGTTCTAAGGTGACAGTTATTTTCCCTCAGCACGTAGAGGATATTTTCAAGATATCTTTCCACTGACTTCTGGCTTTGATTATTTTCATGGAGTTGGCTGTGAGACACTGTTGTGCCTTTGAAGCTAACATGTGTTTTATCTGTGGCCATTTTCACATCTTAGAATGTGTCTAGGAGTGAATTTATTTTGGATTCTTTGGACGGTGGGTTAATGTCTTTTATTAGTTGTGAAAATTTCTCATTGTCACTTCAAACACTGCCTGTGCTCCATTCTATCTTTTCCTTCTCAGATTTTTTTTTTATACGGAGTCTCACTCTGTTGCCCAGGCTAACTGCAGCCTGCGCCTCCCAGGTTCAAGTGATTATCCTGCCTCAGCCTCCCAAGTAGCTGGGACTATAGGCATGCACCACCACACCCAGCTAATTTTTGTACTTTTAGTAGAGACGGGGTTTTGCCACATTGGCCGGGCTGGTCTCAAACTCCTGACCTCAAGTGATCTTCCCTCCTCATCCTCCCAAAGTGTTGGAATTACAGGCATCAGCTACCGTGCCCAGCCCCTTCTCAGATTTTGGCTAGATGTGTGTCAGACTTTCTCATCTTACCCCTCATGTCTCTAAACCACTCTTCCAGTTTTTTCCACCTATTTGTCTTTGCTGTATTCTGGATAATTTTTATCAGCTCTAGCCTTCTGTTTGCCTCATCTCCAGTTGGGTCTAATGTGTTATTAAACTTCTCCGTAAAGTTTTCAATTTCATTTAGTACAGTTTTCTTTTCTTCTTTTTTTTGTTTTGGTTTTTTTTT